GTTTTTTTACCGATAAAAAATATCGGAAGTCCATTGCCTCTTCCCAGCGAATCATAGTACAGTGTATTTCCATGGCTCGAAATTGCCTTTAAATTACCAACATGACCAAATTGCTATATTTAAGGTATTCAGTAAATGCGAAACTGTGAAGTTGTTATCTTAAATGGGGAAAGTGTTCTTGCCTGTTTTAGGCTAGGTTTGAACCTTGATATGTGAGCAGAAAGCGTTAAACGATCTTCAGAATGTTTTTCTCCCTCAAGTTAGAAACTGAGCATCCCCTTTTTGTACACGTTTTGTTAATACCAGTACATTAAACAAACGTCTAACTCTTCGTGCTGCAAAGATTATAGTGAATTAGTAAAATCCAACTAGTGGTCTATTATCAATGCTGCGTTCTGATTGGTTGAGCTACTACAAGGCTATATGTTATAGCTCACTAGTAGCGAAAAGCGCGGGCTTTTTGTCGGCAAAAAAGGATTAAAGTCTAGCTTTGACTAGCTAAAGTTTTTTTATTCTCGATATTCTTGACCAACTAGTTGGATTTTACTAAAACAATTATTCCTCTCGCCCTCATGGCCTCTGAGTCAATAGCCCATTCGGCCTTCGGCCTCATGGGCTATATTTAAATATACGAATAATTATGCGAGCCTTTTTCTTTACATGAGACCGTATAAACCCACCGTCGCAAACTGAAGTAATTAACGCATATGAGATTGTGAAAAACCCACAAGAACGGCTAGAAAATGTCAACGAATTTCAACCTCAAAGCAAAACGAGCCATTCTATTTTAGCTACAGTCGAATTTTTGGGGTTAAAAGCAATCTTTAATTTAATTCATAGATAGAAACTGAGACGAAGGAAATTTAATCTTCATGTATCCAGCTGTCAATATTAAGATCGGAAAGGGCCTGCGTTAATGAAAGAAGATTTGGAATCTTAAAGACAATTACCAATTTTGGTCATTCATAGAATTCATTGGAGGGGTAGATAGGAAAAAGTGGAAATTTCAGGTGCTTTTATCTTCTCGGTTTTCCGACTTCAGAGTTTTAGAGAAGCCCCAAATCAGTCTTAAATGCGCGAGGAAATTACTTTGACTTTGAGTCACTGGTTAAACTAAGCGACGTTCTAATAGGGGCTGTACGAAATTGTTGGCTTACCTTATTCAATTTTTGGAACTTTTATCTTTCTGGGGAAAATATCGCTTCAAGAACCAGTTTCATTTCCTATTAGGTGCATGCTTGACTTTAACGAGATGGAAAACACTGTTTGAACTTCCGATGTGCAAATCATAGTCTGCAAGTTGTCAGTTACAGTAGAAATAAAACCTTATTAGACACTAATTGCAATGTACGTAATCGACTTCTTAACAACCCGTACGCGTTCGTGGATAGTCCAGAACATTTTCTTCACCATTAAGCTAATATCTAATATGAGTCAGACACGTCTGCGAAGTGTAATGAAGATTATCCAAATTCTGATACTAATAACAGATGCAGTAGGGAATGTTCATGCACGCTGGTCAAGAGATACCTATGGTATGTATTGCTGTATTCTTACATCAACATAGGAGGAAATTTCTATAACTTGATAAATAATAATTATTGACAGAAGTGGAGGTGGCTAGTGATGGATATTTAACAAAGCCGCGTTAGCGGCGAGGTAAATATCCATCACTAGCCACCGACACTGAGGTGAATAATTGTTTTAGTATATACTAAAACAGTGAGATAATTGAGCCCAAAAATGATGATTTTTAACTCATTTACTGTTGCCTGCAACGATTACAATTTTGGCGCGCAATGACCGAACGGCTGCTGTCGTCGCTTTTTCTTGCCGGCAAATAAAACTTTTGAAGGCATTTGTTTAGCTCTTGCGGGGAAATTTCCTTAAAAGGAGTTGTGAATTCTTTTTGTATTTAAAATCACTCTGTAAAAAGGATTATTAGACTTAGTTTTAAGCTTATTTATGAACAAGTCAACTACAAATAGTAACGCAAGACTTAAACTTAATTTGCATTTGTAAACAACAAAACTTTTTCGCCGGTTTTATCCATAAATTCAAGTCAAAAAGACAAAGCTTTACCTGTGAAAACTTCCACCCCGAGCTTCGTCACTTTCTTCGTGTATTTCGAAAACAGCTTGCTTGATTAGTTGTGAAATTTCTTTGTTTGTTACGGCAGCAAACCGGGAAGGCATTTTACAACTTACGCGAGTTTGGCGTCTCTCGCTCGGAGGAACTGGAGGTGAATCAGTGAATAGTGCAGGATATTCACTGATTGAGTAGCCAATCAGAGCGCGCGAAAAACACTATCCACTGTTTAAGTATATACTAAATCACCTTTATTGCAACTCAACGTTCTGTAAAATTAGGAGAAAACAAAATTCGTTCTTTCTTATGCTCAGGAGGTGTTCGACTACCTGATCCATTTGTTTTTCCTAATGGAACAAAAAAATTATTATATGCAGATGATTTGATTATTTTATCAAGATCCAAAATAGGATTACAACACTGTTTAAACGCACTTCATTCATATTGCGAAACATGGATGTTAAAAATAAATCCGAAGAAGACAAAAATAATGATATTCCAAAAACGCCCAAGGAAATTCGTTGACAACAACTTTAAAACTGGCAACGAGCACGTTGAAATTGTTCAACAATACACCCATTTAGGTACACGTTTAACCCACACAAGAAACTTAACTCTTGCACTTAAACACTTAAAAGAAAAAGCCTCCTTCAGTATACGGAAACATACCCTCCTTAATAAACTTAATCCCAAAACCGCATCCCAGATTTTTTACACAATTTTTCCGATTTTAAACTACAACAGTAGTGAGGTATGGGCGATGTACACTAAGCAAAATTTTAAAACATAGGATAGGTCCCCCATAGAAAAAATTAATCTCAAGTTAGTTGGTAAACACTACTTGAAGGTGAACAATAAGGCCTCTAATTCAGCTTGCAGTGCTGAGCTTCGAAGATTACTACTAATTATACCATGCCAATTAATGAGAAAGTTATGAAATATTTTATTTATCTAAACAACAAAGATAATGACTCTATAGTTAAACAATCTTTCCTTTTGTCAAAGAATCTTCACTCTGTTAATAACTCCGGATTTTTCTTGACTCCAATTCCATGAACATGTTAGAACAATCCACTCAGGATCATGACTTTCTAGGAATATATATAATCAGGCGATACGCAAACAATATTAAAGAGAAATATATATCTTTCTGGCGACACAGCCTTGAACATCTTTGCACATTCATTTTCAAGTGTTTGAAGGCACTTGTACCTACAGAACGTTTAGGAAAAAAAGTAAATTATGTACTGGTGAGCAAGGACCTATAGGGAGCTCCCAGACTCAGCAAAACAGTGCAAATCTTTGCCATAATTTAAAAATATGCTGAGGACTGTTATTCTCTAATTCTGCTGTATTAAAAAATAGTACATTTTTCAAGTACGTGCCATTTCACGTTTGGTTATATTGTCATGTATGTATTCATGTATTTAATTTTCAATTTATCAGGACCCCCATTGATATCAGCCCTGCTGAGCGGGCAAATCCTGTATAAATATAGGTAAATAAATAAATAAATACTAAGCCTTCTGCAACAAAAAAGGTCGTCTTAACTCATCAGTTTAATTTTAAAGAGGATAAATCCGCTATAGTAAAAATATTCAAAGCAACGGTCTATGTTTTAGCATCACCAAACGAAAATGCTCGATGACGAGTATCGTCAGTATTTTTTGGATCTTTTTTTATCGTCTGTTTTGTTTTGTTTTTTGTTTTTTTTTTCTCGTTTTTCACGGCCCAAGTTCTCTACTTAACCCCTTATGGCGCTGTTAGGGACATCTGACAGCTTCAAAATGGCCTCAGACTCTCAGCCACCATCTTGGGTCTTACTGAAAATGAAGAGTTACCAAGTGCTACCTCAAGTCAAAACTACTGACCAAACCAAAAGATAAATGAAATATTTGTCTAGCACTCCTTGAAAATTATAGAAAGGCCAAAAAGAGCTACATTGCGCTAATTCTTAAATACAAACAAATAAATATTAAATATTACATAACAACAACCTTTCTCGTTCAGCTTACAGATTGTTTATGGAACAGGAAGAGCCAGATTGTTTAAAACGAATACCACAATTCCCCCTCTACACGTTAGACACGTCTTTTACGCCAGAAAAGGAAAAAGAAGTTCTACAAGATATATACAAATCTACAAACGGACAACAATAGTACGAGGCTAGTGGATGGAACAGTTCAACTAATGAGATCTCTCATTGTTTCTGGTATGGAATCACCTGTCATGACAACACGTCATACATAAAAAGTATCGTGTTGCCTTACAACAATTTGGATGGCTTTCTTCCTTCTAACATTTGGAAAATACGAAACTTATTTTCCCTTTGCACGCTAGGAAATCCGAGACTACGAGGGCGTATAGGCGACTTTCTGTTTGGCAACATGAGCAAACTGCTCATCATTTCATTTAAAACCACCTCCATCAGTGGAGATATACCAAAAGACATCGTAAAGCTCACTAGTCTGCAGTTCATCTTGGGATGTCCTATGAATGGCGAGGGCTTCTCTGGTCGCTTACCAGAAAACATAGGAAATATGACAGAGCTTCGAGGTCTCTGTCTTGGGGGAAGCAACTTGACGGGAGAAATACCAAGAAGCATATCGCGACTGGAAAAACTTTACGATCTTGACATTCGAAACACCCCAGGAGAGATGTATGGAGACCTCAACGTAATATTTGGTATTCCTTCTTTATCCTATTTGTACTTGTCTGGCCTTCACCTTAGCGGGGAGATGCCTCGGGTGTTGCCCAAAAGGTTCTTGTAAGTTGGTTTGACTGGAAACAGCATTTCAGGAAGGCTACCAGACACATTTGAAAGTAATATCAACCTTAATGTATTTAATGTCGCAAACAATCAGCTAGTAGGAGACAATCCAGGGGATCTGCTTCTGTTACCAAATCTTCAAATGGTAGATGTGTCACAGAATCAGTTTTCCTCTATAAACCATGGCAAACCATGGCCAGTAAATTCAAGCGCAGCTAAGACGAAATACGTCTCTTTAGCGGGAAACAGGAACTTGTTAATTCATTTCCAGAGCTTCATAGAACTTTTCACAAAGACGGTTGATTTCGTAGAAAGTCCATCAATTTCAAATGTTAGCTTTTGCGACATCAAAAGTCCAGTACTTGCAAATTTGTATTACTTTGAAACAATGTCCACTTGCGATATGCGTGGCAACAATTTTTATGGACCTTTACCCGAATTTTTCGAGGACTTTTCTTTGCTTACATACTTCGATGTCTCATCAAATAACTTAACAGGCAGCTTTCCACCTGGAATTCAGAACCTCAACTCCCTTCAATATTTAGATATTTCAAGAAATCCTTTCATGCGAGAAGGAAACAGCGCATCTACTAGTGTCTATCAACCAGACTTTTCAAGAATGATACGGCCACCCGAAGCAGAGAACTACACGTGCCCTGAAGGACGTCTCGTCTTCAGTAACGGTCGCATTCGCTTAGATCCCACGTTTTACGACTACAGATATTGCATCTGTGATGCCGACTTTTATGGAGACAAAGGGTTGTGCAAAAAATGCATGGAAGGCGGGACTTGCCATGGAAAAGATTTCCGTGAGACAGCAGATCTTCGTCCTAGCATCATGAAAATCGGCAGTGGTTACTGGCCATCACCTGAACCGAACAATGTCACCCACCTTGTAAAGTGTCCAATACCATCTGCTTGCAATCCATCGGATTCTTGCACCTGTGAGCTGAATACATCGCGAAAAGACACAAACTCGCCCTCTAACAGACCCCAAGTGCTATCTCTCTTCACAACATGCAACCATTCGTGTATCTGTTGTTGTATCTGTCGTGTTGCTGTTGTTCTCGCTGTCTCGATGGATTCTACAGATTAGGCGGACTTTGCTTTCAATGCAAAAAAGGTGATCAATTGTACTATTACATGTTCATTCCTGTTTTTGCAGTTTCATTCCTTGCTTTAATCTGGTCCTACTTTTATTTCAATGTACGTCCCTTGAAATGGTTTGTTGTTACGGCCATTCATTTTCTTCTAATGTTAATTATGATGCTCTTGGAATTCTTGCCGGCATGGTTTTTCAAATTAAACATGGTTGTGTTTGTGCTCTGTATGACTAGTAGAGGAAAAGCGGCCCGTACGCTCATAAGCATCGCAGTGTTTTACATTCAGACTATAGATTTCATGGTATCAAGCTTCAGCGTTTGGCCTAAAAAAGTTATTGCAGCTCAAGGCTACTTAAGCAGCTACTGGAACCTCTATTTCCCCTCGCTTTCTTGTGATTTGCCTCTGCTGTTTACTCCTGTTGGCAAGTTTGCTTTCCTGCTTCTCTTGCCACTGGCGTGCTTGATCATGGTTGGAGCATATTTTATCGTCATGCTGGCATTCCAGAAATTCCGTCCAAACACAGAACGCATGGAAATGGCTCACTTCAAATGTCGCCAAACCGCCTTTTTCTGTCTAAGCTTCAGCTATTTTCCCATTGTGAAACAAACGCTTTCAGTCCTACGTCCATGCCACAAGGACCTTGATGTGCTCTACATGCCATCCTCTCCTTGGATAGAATGTACCTCTTACACCTACCACAGTCTGATTACACTAGGAATTGTCTCCATTGTGGTCTACGTGATTGGATTTCCCTTGATGGTCATCTCCTTGATGTTGCTCTTTTTCCCCAAGAGAAGTTCTATGAGCCCTGAAGATCGAAAGAAACTTGATGTATGGCTTGGGCCGATCTATTTACCCTACAAACCTAAGTACCAAGCGTTCTTCGAAGTTGTCATCCTCTTACGCCGCCTGATTCTCGCCATCGCCCTGTCCATGATCCCATCGTCATCTACTTTGCAAACGTTTGTAGTCTGGGTTGTACTTATAGCTTCAGCGCTTATTCATCTTATTTTACGCCCGTACGATACGAGCAGGAGAGTGGGCGAAGCCGACCGCGAACATGGCTGGCCAAAGGTCAAAGAAATATTCACTGAGAATGTCTTTGAGCCTCTAGTATTGGTCGTCTTATCAATGTCATTCATGGTGTTACGATTTTCATCTTTAGATGGCAAAAATGCTGTTCTCTTTGTTTTGTTTGTTATGGTCATCAATACCTGTGTCCTGATTGGTTTGTTAGTCGCTATCTTCTATCTTCTCGCTTGCAAAGTCAAGATTCGTGGTAATGGTAATAAGACTTCAAGTACAGCAAATTGTGGAGGGGAAGATAGACTTGAAGAGCACGCGAACATTGGCGATGAAGAAGGAGGATATTTGCTGCGAGGTGGTGCCAGCCGCAGATACTTACTGACCAACAATGACGCTTAACCTTGACAAAGATTATACTGTTATAAATTTTGTTACCATGCCATTAGAGTTTAGAGGCCTGTCGAGCTATAAGCTTGATAAATAGAACATCCTTTTTAAGGTGATATCTTTCATTCGTAACTGTTTGGCACTCCCAAATGTACAGTCCGTAATGTAAATTAAACGTTAAACAAATTATTTCCTTAAGCCGACTGTCATCTTTTATTCATTCATTCATTCATTCTTTATTTGCCATGTATACAAAATTTTACAATTTAAGGTTGGAATAATGAGATTAAAGAACGTACCAACTTTTTTTGTTTTAAAGAGACGACTCCCTGAAGTGCGCTGAATGATCTGAAATGGCATGATGGCTGAATAAAGAATATTGTTTAACCGCTTTCGAGCTTTGTCGCTCAAAGTAGTTTAGTCACAGCTGACTACAGTAGTGCACTATGTTGCAAAATATACCTTGTTAGGCCCTTGTTAGTTTCGAGTTTAGTCGAGGTTAATCATTAATATGAATAATGGTCGAGTTCATGACGTCACCCATTTTTATAACCTGGGGAAAAGTGGCTTCCTGCATACGTAATAAGTGTCTCCCTCCATAGTAATGAGCGTATTTCTTTTACAAAAAGCTCGCAATAAAACCAGACAGTTTTCTTAAGAAATCAACTTTACGACCCTTTAACCTCGTTTTAGACTAGGATGCAAGCAAAAGCAATAACGCTCGTCGGAATGTTCCTGTCCCCTTTATTGGATAGAAATTTATTACTGCCGTCTTGCCTCCCCCCCTTCCCCCCCTCCCCCCCCTGGGCGTTTTGCAAGTAAGCTTCAGTGTTGTTTACATCATAAGAAAAGAAGAGAAAAGACACAATCGGTACATAATTTAAACGGCGTTCGTATTATGTGAGACGGAGTTAACCCATCGTCACAAAGTAAACCAAGCATTTTTGTTTCAGACGCGTAATCGGGAAAGACCGGCCAAAGAGTTTTCCCGGACGTCTAGCTTCAGCCACGTGTTTGGGATTCAAACGGAAAAAAATATTGATTTATGGATAGATATAAATTGTGACACAGGAAAATATCCAGATATGGCCAAAAAGGTTGTAACTTTGTTATCTGAAACTATGACGGAAAGTTTCAAATTAAACAATAGGAGACAGGCGATTTTAGCCATAGCGGCGAACTTTGGTTTATCACGACATTTGTAGAAGAAAGATATTTAAACAGGGAGCCCGTCTTTTACACAGGCTTCTTGTAAAGGAGCGGTGACACTTTTACGGTGGTAAACCATCTTTTCAAAAAAAATAAATCAATGTTCTTCTTGTCGGTGTGACTGTAAGTGAAGCAGAATTACTGCTAATTTACTTTGGGACCAATTTCACGTGAAAAGGAATTTCAACCAGGCAAACTAAAACCCAAGTAGGATTTACCATGGCATTATTTACCCAGGGAAAGTATGTGTATTTCCTCAACTGTTTACTGTTTTATTTAATTACCGATTAAAAATATCGGAAGTCCATTGCCTCTTCCCGGCGAATTATAGTACAGTGTATTTCCATGGCTCGAAATTGCCTTTAAATTACTAAAATGACCCAATTGCTATATTTAAGGTATTCAGTAAATGCGAAACTGCGAAATTGTTATATTTCAGAGCGGGGAAAGTGTTTTTGCCTGTTTTAGGCTAGGTTTGAACCTTGATATGTGAGCAGAAAGCGATAAACGATCTTCAGAATGTTTTTCTCCCTCAAGTTAGCAACTGAGCACCCTTTTTTTGTACAAGTTTCGTTAATGTCAGTACATTGAAAAAATGTCTCACTCTGCGTGCTGCAAAGAGAGTTGAAATATACGAATAATTATGCGAGCGTTTTTCTTTACATGAGACCGTATAAACCCACCGTCGCAAAATGAAGTAATTAACGCATATGAGATTGTGAAAGACCCACAAGAACGGCCAAAAAATATCAACGAACTTCAACCTCAAAACGAAGCCGTTCTATTTAAGCTAGAGTCGAATTTTTGGGATTAAAAGCAATCTTTAATTTAATTCATAGATAGGAACTGAGACGAAGGAAATTATTCACGCATCCAGCTGTCAATTTTAAGGTCGGAAAGGGCCTGCGTTAATGAAAGAAGATTTGGAATCTTAAAGGCATGCAATTACGAATTTTGGTCATTCATAGAATTCATCGGAGGGGTAGATAGGAGAAAGTGGAAATTTCAGGTGTTTTTATCTTTTCGGTTTTCCTACTTCAGCGTTTTAGAGAAGCCCCAAATCAGTCTTAAATGTGCGAGGAAATTACTTTGACTTTGAGTCGCGGGTTAAACTAAGGGGTTAAACTAAGGGGCTGTATCTGATTCAATTTTTGCAACTTTTATCTTTCTGGGGAAAATTATCGCTTCAGGAAGCAGTTTTGTTTAAAATTAGGTCCTTGACTTTAACGAGAGGGAAACACTGTTTCGACTTCCGATGTATAAATCATAGTCTGCAAGCTGTCAGTTACAGTATAAATAAAACCTTATTACTAGACACTAATTGCTAGACACTAGTTTTACGTAATCGACTTCTTGACAACCCGTAAGCGTTCGTGGATGGTCCAGAACATTTCCTTCACCATCAAACTAATATCTAATATGAGTCAGACAAGGCTTCGAAGTGTAGTGAAGATTGTCCAAATTCTGATGCTAATGACACATGCAGTAGGGAATGTTCATGCACGCTGGTCAAGAGATACCTATGGTATGTATCGCTGTATAATAGGAAATTTATATAACTTGACAAAACACCTTTATTGCAACAAATTACTCAACATGTTCTGTAAAAATCGGAGAAAACAAAACTTGTTCTTTCTTATACTCAAAGGGGTGTACGTCAAGCTAGGTTGTATTTTAAGTCCTCTTTTATTTAAACAATCTGCCCTGCATTTATTCGGAAACACACTATCTGATCCATTTGTTTTCCCAATGGAACAAAACTTAATAATAATAATAATAATAATAATAATAATAATAATAATAATTTTCTGATGATTTTGAGGCATTTTTTCGTGCAGTTTGCTTTCTTAATTGGATTAGCGAATAAAGACGACCAGTTTTTGCTGATTACAGAAAGATAATGCCTAAACGGTATTGGAAAAGTAAGAAGAAGTAATATGCTTCCAAATGAGGGCAATAATCTAGGATTTGATGACCCGAAGAAATTTAGAACGATCGTTAAAAAACCTGTATAACAGAGACTAAAATTTGCATATTTTAGCCGCTGACGGTCGTCCAGTAATGAAATGCTGGAAATGGCAGTAAAATAAACAATTTCCTCATTCTAACTGCAATTTCGTTATAAGGATGGAAAGTAGTGTTGATGGTAAAATTATGATGCAAAAGTTTTTACGAGTCCAAAAACGAGTGGAACGCTTTTAGGGAGACTGCCTCTTAATTAGCCAGGATAAATTTTTCCTGACCGAAAAAAAAGTCTTGTCAAGCCTTAACTTTTAAGGTTTTAAAGGAAGTGAATTTGTTGAAGTGCGAGCGTCCAGAGTAAGGACACTCCATAATTTACTTACAGCATTAAAGGAAAACGTTCGGTAACACATCTAGGTGATGCTATAATGATGTTAGCGACATCTAACTTCACCCAAAACGGCTGTCGTCTTGGTCATTAATAACTTATGTTCTTTTGAACTACGTGTTTACAGCATAGACTCAAATGAAATGCTTTCTTCGCTTAAACTGACTAAGGCATTTTTCCAATAAAACGTTGCGTGAAAAAAAAATCGAAAAAAAAAAAACTGTTATCAAAGTGTCTGAACATTGTTTCAACCCCCTTATAGATCTTCTTGACCCACGTGGTCAACAGCTATGCAGATATCTTGGAAGAAAAAACGGTCAGATGAGAAAAGTTGAGAGTTCAATCCCACACACACACGGCCGCTCTTTCATTATTCCCCATGACGTCATATGAAAACCACATGCGACAGCATTGAACGACTTTGATCATCATAACTTAGCGTATAAAACTGAAATTATTGCGGAACGTTAATAACTCCAGATAAAATTCTAGGAAGACCAAACAGAGGTTCATTTTGCTTAATAATAAATAATAACATCTCACTCCTCAGATTACAGATTATTCTTGGAAGCTGAAGGACCAGATTGTCTAAAACGAATAAAAGAGTTCCCTCTCTTTACGCTAGACACAACGTTTACCCCAGTACAAGAAAAAAACATTTTGCTAGACATGTACAAATCTACAAACGGACAACAATGGTACGAGGCTACTGGATGGAACAGCTCAAGTAACGAGATCTCTCATTGTTCCTGGTATGGAATCACCTGTCATAATAACACGTCATACATTAAAAGTATCGTGTTGCCTTATAACAACTTGGATGGCTTTCTCCCTTCTGACATCTGGAAAATACGAAACTTGTTTTCTTTGTGCACTCCAGGAAATCCGAGACTGCGAGGGCGTATTGGCGACTTTCTGTTTGGCAACATGAGCAAACTGTTGACCATATCATTCAATACTGCCTCTATAAGTGGAGATATACCAAAAGATATAGCAAAGCTAACTAGTCTACAGAACTTCTTGGGGTGCCCTATGAATGGCGCAGGCTTTTCTGGTCGCTTGCCAGAAAACATAGGAAACATGACAGAGCTTCGAGTTCTCTGTCTTGGAGGAAACGGCGTGACTGGAGAAATACCAAGAAGCATTTCTCGACTAGAAAAACTTTACGATCTAGACATTCGAAACACCCCAGGCGTGATGCATGGAGACCTCAACGTAATATTTGCTATTCCTTCCTTATCCTATTTGTACTTGTCTGGCCTTCACCTTAGCGGGGAGATGCCTCGGGTGTTGCCCCAAAGGTTCTTACAAGTTGGTTTGACTGGAAACAGCATTTCAGGAAGGCTACCAGAAACATTTGAAAGTAATATCAACCTTAATGTATTTAATGTCGCAAACAATCAGCTAGTAGGAGATATTCCAGGGGATCTNGTAAGCGTTCGTGGATGGTCCAGAACATTTCCTTCACCATCAAACTAATATCTAATATGAGTCAGACAAGGCTTCGAAGTGTAGTGAAGATTGTCCAAATTCTGATGCTAATGACACATGCAGTAGGGAATGTTCATGCACGCTGGTCAAGAGATACCTATGGTATGTATTGCTGTATAATAGGAAATTTATATAACTTGACAAAACACCTTTATTGCAACAAATTACTCAACATGTTCTGTAAAAATCGGAGAAAACAAAACTCGTTCTTTCTTATACTCAAAGAGGTGTTCGTCAAGCTAGGTTGTATTTTAAGTCCTCTTTTATTTAAACAATCTGCCCTGTATTTATTCGAAAACACACTATCTGATCCATTTGTTTTCCCAATGGAACAAAATTTAATAATATACACGAAAAAATTACTCAATTCTGATTGGCTGAGAAAGGAGTGCAGCTCTTCTGTAACACGTGTGCAAAATGTGTAACACGAGTGCAAGTAACAAATGCTTTCTGATTGGCTGAAAACAAAAAAGAAACCAACAAGAACCAATCAGATTAGAGCTGTTTTAACAACAAAAATTCAAGAAAATGGCCATGGTTTTCAGCAGACCACGACGGGATTTAATTTTGTAAGCAAAACAACAATAGAAGAGCTAAAAAAATATTCCAAAAACCCGAACACAGTAAAAAGTACTTCTTTCTGGCTAAATATATTGAAAATGCGTTGCCAAGGGAAAAATACTGTCAATAAAATCGAGGAAAATGAGCCAGAGAAACTAAAAAACAAGGTATTTATAACAGACTACGCTAAAGTAAAAAAATAAAGACCAAAATGGTTGCAACCACACGCAAACCATGACAGCTACACTCTTCAGGCATTTAAATGAATAAGGACACAATTTCACGATAACAACAGGGATTTCAAGTCATGTACGTTATTTGTTGCTCTCTTTGAGTCTTTTGTGGAGCGAAGACCTCTATTAAAACATCCATGCGATGGTCTGTTTTTTTTTTCTACCTCAGTAGCAAACGAAACCGAAAATTTAAACATCTGTTCCAAACTAAACCAATGGGTGGAAATACCATAACTCACATAATGAAAGTATCGGCAGCTGGTACTGGCCTTAACGGAAAGTGAGAAAAAAGTTTACGAATCATTGTGCAAGAAAAACAACAGTCAGGAAGCTGAAGAAAGCAAAGATTGTAAGTTCAGAACATATCGTCAGTGTCACAGGCCACAGAGGTATAAATTTCCTTAGAAGAGCTACGATAACTCTTGCAGTAGGCCAAATAATATATATATATATATATATATATATTAGATTGGGATTATATATAGATTGGGATTATATTTGTGTTTATGAGGACGGGAGAGAGAGATGCT